CACAGGCATAATGCAGAGCTCCACAGGAAAAGCAATGCTCCGCTATTCAGAGAGTATGTAAGCTGCTCATCCGTCAAACCCTGAGAGATCCCAAGGAAAGGAAGGCTCACAGCAGCATATTAAACTGGACAGAGTCTCAGTTGTTTGTTTTTACCTGACACCCTAATCCGTGGTTCTGTGCTGCAAATATGTCTTCTCAATGTATTGCAAATATAACTAGCACTGTCCCTTGTTCACTGACACCATCGAGGCAGAGCTATCCTGACGGTGTTTATCTGGGACAGCCTGGAACTTTCAATGGAAAACTAGGAAGTAAATATATTGGGTCAATTTATGTCTTGTCCATTGGAAATGCAAACACCTGTCACCGGGAGGACTGAGAGGTAACAGCACACGTTGGATCAAAAGTCTCTTCCTCTTCTATGAGAGCGGTGATCTGTCACTATGAGACAGTCTAAACAGAGACACTCTCGTTGGCGTTAACAAGATTATAACTGCATTACATGTCTCTTCGTGATCCAATATATATAACCTTCAATATTTCACCATTTTTTATATCCAGCCATGTGCCACAGGGTTAAAAGGGCAACTTTCCAGATAAACCCGTTGGGTTTTATCCGCTAAAAGAGGAATTGTGGTATATATATGGGAGCTGCAAAGATTGCTCCTCCTCCGTTCTCTGTATTTTCTCTAACAGAACGGCTTTCATCTTATAAAGAGAGGTTCAGTCTTCAAACCACCTGCATTCCCACAGTTTTGTCAGTCTCCCTATAGGAACAGAATGCCGAAATACCTATTCATTACAGGGTTTTGGTCACAATGTACGACAGACTCTCCAGGCAGTTCCCAAAACTACTCTTTAACCCCTGTATTCCTGGACCTCTCCCTATAAATCTCCTATTATGGGTACTATAATCAGGAGATATACAATATTAAATTATATTTATTATGGGGTGGGTACTATAATCAGGAGATATACAATATTAAATTATATTTATTATGGGGTGGGTACTATAATCAGGAAATATACAATATTAAATTATATTTATTATGGGGTGGGTACTATAATCAGGAAATATACAATATTAAATTATATTTATTATGGGGTGGATACTATAATTAGGAAATATACAATATTAAATTGTATTTATTACGGGGTGGGTACTATAATCAGGAGATATACAATATTACATTATATTTATTATGGGGTAGGTACTATAATCAGGAAATATACAATATTAAATTATATTTATTATGGGGTGGGTACTATAATCAGGAGATATACAATATTAAATTATATTTATTACGGGATGGGTACTATAATTAGGAGATATAAAATGATAAATGTCCCAATGTGCTGCCTCTATAAGGTATCCGGTGCTTTGGCCTTTAATGTCCCCCTCTAATAACTCCTATGGCTAAAACAATGAGAGAGACTAAACCCCTTACATTTACCATATTTTATTATGCTTTAGTTATAAACCCCATCACATTCCGCAGCGCTGTGCATGGGTAAATAAAAAATCACATTATTGATTACTTTCCATTAAACTACATTTACTGCACTCAGTGTTAGCCGTTTCATTCTTCATTCAAGTCTCTGGGAATATTTCACTGATACTCTTTATAGAAGTAAATGAAATACTGATATAAACCGTAAACAAATTAACCATGCGATGTCCTGATCCTAATCCTCAGCATTACCTCACAGCTTATTGTGAACTACACTCAGGGATGATGGGAAATGCAGTTTACAAACATCAGCAGAGCCAGAGCTAGTCATCTCTACATTAGTAGGTCAGGTTCACTGTAACCCTTTGTTAGTTAATGAAAATAGACTGCATGTTCTTTAGGGAAGGAGCCAGCTCTTTCTATGGACTTTGGCCAATTAATCATGTGGGGTTTAAATTTAACTGCACGACAGCGTAAGCGTATTAGGACTGGATACTAGACAAACCACTGGCTGGTATCATATTCTCAATTACAGACATCTTAAGCCATGCTGTGAAGAGATTGAATCTTTGATGGTCAGGGGAAAAGGCCGTACCACTACTAGAATCCTTTGGCATTTTGCAAAGATCATTCTGGCTTTATGTTGGTCCAACAAAATTTATCACAACCTGTTAAACATTGCACCCTGCTGCATGGGACTTAACCCATGCTGACCTGGGGACACCAAGCGTTGCTTGCATTAATTGAAATTCTTCAGAACGCCAAAGCATTGATTCCCAACGCTGCCACCCAGCTCCTCGCAATCAGGGACACAGTTGGCACTCACTGTTTTAAAAGTGATAGTAAGTTCCACAACAAGTCTCGCTGCATTTCTTTGTATTTATTAGTTTTATCCCCTAGGCGTGGACAAGAAGGTTCTAAGAAATCTGAAATTCTATTAATGCTGACTTTTTATTATATATTAAAGTCCCTTAATACCGGTATTTATCGACTGTGTAGTAAAATAATGTGGGGATAACAGAAAAAGGTAATTTGGTGATTATATAAATATGCTGCATATGTAGTAATGACAGGGAAAGTTACATGCTTTGCACACAGTCACTATGTAGCTCCTCCCTTTGCGTAATATGGAGATGTGTTTCATTACGGGTAAAATCTCAGTGCTCTTCGCTCTCTTAACTTCTAGATATGGTGTGAAGGATGTTTATTATTTAATTTTAGCTAGGTTTTGTTTATATTTTAATTGCCATTTGTACAATAAGAAAACAAACATCAAACTGTATATATATCTGATTTCCCTAATGATGTAAAGATATGGCATAAAGAGAAATAAGTTAGAAAATGAAGTGTTACTAAACGTTACCTTCAAAGAACAGACAGATCTAAATGAACATCAATACCAAATACAGGATATTTCATAAAAAGACCAGCGTGCGGTATTGTTCTGATGCCTAGAGAATCCTCTCTATTAAAACCTTCCCATGTCCCATGTAGAAGAAGTATAGTGTTAAGATAAACAGATATATAATACATAGTAATAAAATGTACAGTACTTTAATGTGTTGTGCTGTGTGCGGTGTAACCTTTTCAATATTTTTGAAAACGAGAGACAGTAGGTTTTGTAATTTGTATTTGTATCTATAATCTCTATTGGGAAAACGTGGAACAGCAATGGGCACAAAGCACGCACCATGCTTTGGTGTTCCTTAAATCGTTTTAGGAACACATTATCATTCATAGCAAGGCTCTAGATATACCTATTGACCTATGGTTATTATATTGTTTATGTTGCCTTTTTCTGGAAACAAATCTATTGTATCTTTTGAATGGTTTCTGTGGCATCTAAAAAATCAAAGCTTTAGAAACGCATCAAGCATTCCTAACACTACAGTCCATCTTTTTGAGTTTCCATATTTAGAATGAATATACCAAAATGTATGTTTACGCTTTACTCAATAATGTGAATGTCAGTACAACTAGGATGGCACATGTTACCCACCATACTTATTATCTCCAAACTATTTTATACATTCTGTTTTTGAATATTATTAGTCCATAAAAGCAAAGTTATTCTCATATCAGTCAATTCTGTTTTCAGGCAACAAATGTACCTTTTATTTTTCTACTAAACTATTTAGCACACAACACATTAAAGTACTTATATTTTATTACTATGTATTCTATATCTGTTTATCTTAACACTATACTTCTTCTACGTGGGAAGGTTTTAATAGAGAGGATTCTCTAGGCATAAGAACAATACCGCACGCTGGTCTTTTTATGAAATATCCTGTATTTGGTATTGATGTTCATTTAGATCTGTCTGTTCTTGGAAGGTAACGTTTAGTAACACTTCATTTTAGTTTAGTAATAAAATAAAAAGGTACGCTTGTTGCCTGAAAACAGAACTGGCTGATATGAGAATGTATAAAATAGTTTGGAGATAATAAGGATCATCCACCACTTGTTTCCTTGTTTTGCTCGAATGGTCCTTTTTTTAGGGATGTTTTTACAGAGAAATCGCTCATAATCATTTCCACAAAGCCCCCAAGTTTCTGTTTTCATCAATAAACATCAACGTTTCTGCTCACATCTGGAGCCTTCTTCAGGATGGCAGATATCTCCAGATGTGAGCCGAAACGTTGATGTTTATTTTTTTATTTTGTATATGAATTAAAAGTTAAATTTTACTTTACAAAGACCCTAGAGTGCATTCCGTTTTTTTGGATATATATATATATATATATATATATATATATAAACACACACACACACACACACACACACACTCTATATATATATATATAAACACACACACACACACACACACACACTATATATATATACACACATATACACACACACACACACCATGTTTTGTGAGTAAATGTTTAGTGATGCACACATGCTATGGCAAGTTACTGTATCTGCGTTCTCTGTTCTGCTAAATCAGCCAAGTGGTGTTTTACAGTGTTTTGCGTTGTGACATTTATTCTGCTTTAGGTCTGTTTAACATGTTCTATGAACACAGAATATGTCCTAATATCACTCATTAAGAAGGAATGAATGTAGGGAAGTTCTGCAAAGTAAGTGGATTACAGGTACTGTTAATGAGTGCTGAGGATTAAATTCGGTATAATTAGTGAAAACAATTTGAAAGCGGGCAAGTCACAGCATTTGCCGATTTCTGAACAGATCTTGATGTGTTCTTTGTTTTTAAAATGTATCTCAGATTTGTAGCTGGATTTTGAAAAAGTATTTCTACCCAAATTAATGCCGCAATGTAATGTGTCTCGAGTAAGCTTTTAAACGGATTTTGTTTTAAAATATTACAATAAATATATAAAAAAAAATATAAAAGTATTTTTCAAAATATCTGTACATCTGAAAAGCTTCACCAAAAATATTAAATTGAGGCCTAAGTAAGGGTAAAATGTCCCTGTAACAGATTAGTAATATGTTGCGATTAGTTGTTTTTTAAATTGATGAGAATGTGCAACCTTCATAACTGATACTTAGCAATCAAATTAAAAAACACAAGCATAATCCTTTGACATTTTATTTTAGAAATAATAAAATAAGACATAATATTAATAAAAAAATCTGTACAATCCAGGATCTGTGCAGTACATTTTTTAGGAAGACTTTGATACAATAAAAAAAGGCTAGAGACAGAAATAAACATTATTTACATTGATTGTCAAACACTGCCCACATTGCGGGAACATCTAGCCAACATCTGAGCCGGGATTGGCTAATGTGCTGTTCCAGGCTTTATCCTTCGACTTCTGAAAGTCAGGAGAAGCCAGAGTTTAAAGACATTACAGTACATCTCACGGATTCACCCCAATACCAAATAAAACAGAGATAAGAAAATTGCAAATTCAAACCCTTTGTCTTTACCATGAATTTCAAAATCTAACTTAAATACATACACATATTTTTGTAAAAGTTATATCACCAATCAGATAATTTTAAATAAATAGAATAATGTATCCACTTTGCATTGTGTAGTATAAAGGAGTGGGTGAGATTATTTTTGTTCCATCAAGTCTAATAATATAGGCACGGGGCCACGTTCCCCAAAAAGTCTGCAACAATGGTCAACACTGTTCCTTTCCATCTTACGTATAAATCTATTACCTCCAATGAAACTCTCACATTCCAAGAATATAATATGATTTGGTGATTAACAATATTTTAAAGTTGACTGGTAGACTGCCCCAAGTATGTCGGTCTACATTAAAAAAAGTTAAAAATGTATTACCAGAATCATCTTGACTTTCTGGGAATTAAATTTAAAAAAAATGCAAAGACTTTATGGCCAAATGGTGTTTGATTTAGAAAATACTATTGAAAGAAATATAGCTAGCCTACAGTAGTATGGTGAATTGCAAGAATTAAGGATATAAAGGCATACGGTGATTCTACAGCTTGTTCTGACATAACTACATAAGTTTAAACTCATCTCTTAAAAGATGTATTTAAAAAACACTAGACTCCTTAAGTATCGATGAAGCCAAGTAATAAAACCAAAATTAGACCAAAAAACCCCCAAAAATAAAATATTCGTAACACAATCTCCCTTTGCGTCTTCACATGCAGTGTGTTCTAGTTAAGACATTTTCTAAAATGTCCAATTCAAGTATTTCAGGAACGACAGGAGAAGTCTTCTAACAAACCTAAAACAATATGTTTAGAGAACCCCAGCGTTGATCCAATTAAAAACATTTCACAACTAAAGAAATAGACTCAAAAAGTAGAGATCTTTAGTTGTGGACAACTCAACATTCAGCAAGGTAAACGATTTGACCTCTGTCAAGGTCAGAAGGATGTAGTGTTCAATTACACTGGGTTATAGAAGAAGAAAAATAGCATTTCTAAACAGTTTTTTGTTGTTTTTTTATAGAAGTCGAATAGGGCACTAACATGTTTTTTCATCATGCCGATAACGTTTGATCTTTAAGATGTGCAATATGAGTATTAGTATGATTACTAAACAACAACAATCATTTTACTGCAACATGTAACAAATGAATATAAAAATCCCAAATCCCTTGCAGTGGTAGAGGGCAGCATTATAACCCTGGCCACTTTTAGTGGGTTGTTCCCCAAAACAAAAAACATGGCAATCTATTTGCAATCAATCCAACCCTGCAGTCTGTTTTTCATAATCACCCAGCTATCACATTGCAACCGGGTCACATAATTATATCGATGAGACTGAGGTCCACACAAGTAACTAAAACGCAAAATGATCAGTGGTGATGTTAGTAAATTCCATTCTAAAACTGACATCTGTACTAAATAAGTGCAAATCTGCTTGGTGAAGACAAAGGGTTTTTGCACAAACGAACAATGACAAACGAACAATGACAAGACATGTTTACGGATCAGAAAGCTAATAACAGTTTAAAATAATAAAAAAAGTAAGATAGCAACTACAAAACACTTTCAACTGAAAAGTCCATGCTTGAATAAATAACATCCACCCACAGCATAAGCAACGTTTGAGGTTTGTAGATATTATTTCAATTCTGGATCAGAATTCACTGAGCTCTTTTTACACCTCTCTTGGCATTTCGTGATTGTACACCTTGTTATTTACATTTGGCTTGGAGTGTAGAAATTGTCTATAGAGTATATAAAAATATCCACTCTCGTAATTAAAGGTTACCAAGAAAAAAAAAAAAAATTGTTTGGGGATTAGTCAAATCTTTGCAAGGGTTTAAAACTGCTTTATAATCAAGGCGAGGGCTATTATAAAAATAAATGGTAAAAGTGCATAGCAGCTACTTGTTTTCAGAATTGATTGAGATTGAAACGTCGCTTTAACCATGTGTACTCGGCAGATATTATGTCCTATCTTTATGCTAGCTAAGAAAACATCGTCATTTGATTTCTTTTTTTAACCCAATTTTTTTTTTTTTTATAAAGGTGCAAATGCCCCAATAGCAAACGCTGTAATATACAGCAAATCTGTTTCTACATTCCAGCTAGTTAAAGCATATTTAGCTTCACATGTTAGTGCCTAAAATTAAAACTAATTTAGAACGTTTTATGCAGAATTACAAAGCAGTTTCTAGAAGTATAGAGTGAGTTTCTATGGAAACACTAGACTCCTTTTGACTAATGAAGATTCTCCTGAGAGATTATGTAAGATTAACCCTTACTAGTTTCTGTATAAAGCGATAGATATTGGACATAGCTACAAAGACCATCATGTGAAATTCTCACTAAGGATTGGATTTAATTGGAAGCCAAATCGGAGAGATTATCCAACCCATTTATTGTTCCAAATCCTGTATTTTGTTCTATATGGTAAGATCTGTTTACAGTATAGTGAATGAACTCCCATTGATTTTAGAATTACTAAAACGATCTGTAAGCAAGCTTTAAGCAGCGGTAGGGTCATTTAAAAAATGTAGATTAAAAAAGCAATGCACCTTTATATAAATGGGCCGCTATTATTCTCAGTGCCAGGGTTCTATTCCCTAAATAATGTGATATGTGGTGGGAAAACAAACAATGTAGTAGATTTTTTTTTAAAGTTTGCCATTTCTAGACTAAAATGTATAATTTTTGCCACCAGCTTACCACAACTCATTGTTTAATGAATAGTTCTTCAGTTAAACTTCAAATCATTTTTGAAGAAAATACCATCTATGCTTGGGCATCATTTTACAAAATACTCTTTGGTATCATACCTTCCCTTTTAACAATATTGTAGCAGCAAGTAATTTCATTTCTAATAACGTTCTTGGTGCAAAATCTGGGCTCTTCAACCAGACCATCAATATTTCAAAGTGACACCTTCAGAATCTTGCTGAAATACCCTCCAAACTTCGATAGTCCTGGTGACATTTTACAAACAGACTCGTTTCCCTTTAATTACAGGTCTCCAAGGGCCCAGCCAGCCTTCACAGATTTAACAGGTTAAAAGATCATCGATCAGGACAAGATTATTTTTAATGGCATATATTTGACAGATACTGTAAAAGAGCTCAACTTAAAATGTGTAAATGGTATTTGCTCAGGAAGATACCAAAATCTGATCTGTTCATGGGAACCTGATTCGACCAGTGGAAAGGCACCGACCACCAAAAATAACACGGCCAACAAACACAATGTATCACCAACATTCTGATTGTGAGTGCAGTGCAAACAACTAAGTTTGGGTATAATATATATATATTTTACAAAGAAATTCAATGTTAAAAAAAATAAATAAAATCTATATATTTAATTAATTTATGTTTTTACAATTAATTTCTTTGTTTAAAAAAAATTAATAATACATATTTTGTCTTTACAAAATATGAAAAATATGTTTCTGATAATTTGTTTTTAAAAGCCTAGCAATTTCCTAATTTAATTAAGTTAAAAAAACAAAAACTATTCAAAGTACCTTAATTACAGTATGAAACATAAAGTCACCTTGAGGTTCACATGCTCCAATCGAGCCCACCCTCTCGTGACGTCTGTATTTTTAGACTGTATAGTCTGTGGCAAGCATGCCAGATGCAGCTATTTGAGGTCTAACGCTGCCCTTCTCAACTGACACAGAGAAAAATGTCAATATGCTTGACATATGCAGCTTCATACCAAAGACTTTCCCGGCCAATCTAAAGGAATGAATCAAAGGTTTCACTTTTCTGTGTTTACAATTATTAGCGAGCCTTTTACAGTATCATCTGCTCCAAATAATATTTTTTTTCCAGTGTGTTCCACCAGTTCCAAATAAGATTCTCTTTTTCCAACATTTTTGTATTTTTTGATACAAGATCAATCGGTTCCTCGCCTCTCCCTTTTTGCGGAAATAAACTCCCTCTCTTTTCAAGCCTCCACATGATACATAGCAGCTATATCTCATTGCAACACCCTGGGAAATAGATATATTATCCCAAAATATGATCTAGTCGTGCCCCAACAATGAGAACTGATCTAACCTAAGGATATTTCACTTTAGTATTTGGAATTCTGGAAACAAGTGATGGCACCAGCCTATTTTTTATACTGATCTATATTATATTAAACTATTTTCTGTTTCAATTATTAAAAGTATACGTGGAATGTCCTCAAAACATTTGACCTTTTCTTCTATTTTTTAATTGTCATAAACAGGAAAGAACAGATGTTTCAGATATTTTTGCCTCATCAAAAGAGATCCTTCCTACCCCTTTGTCTACATATAAAAAGATCTTATGTGAACATTTTTTTTTTAATAAATATGTAACAGTAATGATCTGGCAAAGCTTTAGATTTCTATTTTTCTAAACAAAATAAAAATCTATCACTAGAAAAGTAAATTTAAATACAGCTATTTTCACACTCAGCTAGGAGTAGGATCAAACAGCATTTCCTTTGGTATACGCTTAGAAAAGGGTTTGTTTTTTTGTCTTTTTTAATTAGAAAAATATAATCTGAACTTAATCTCTAGAGTTTACCTACCACTCATTTAGAGAGATGTACCAAGGTTTGCCAAAGCTCCAGGCTGCGTGTGTAGTACCAGATTTAGTACATAGTCTGTGTAGGTTAAAGAATAAAAAGGTTGCAACCTTTGAATAACCCCCGAATGGTCTCCAGGCTACTCTCACAATGCAAGTATCATTGGCTGGACTTGCCATTCGTGGCTGAAATAACATAAAATACACACAGACAAACATATGCACACACACACATTCTATAGACATTTTTCTTGCAAAATTTGGCATTTTTGTTGGCCAACAGCCAGCTTATCACTGTATCGTCTATTTCCTTCAAAACAACTAAAAACACTGAAACACAAAATGTACCCCTCAGCAGAACTGAACGGGTGTATGTGAATATAGCAGCAGCTTAAATTTTAAGGCAGATGATTGCCTACTGTTATGCCATTAAAAATGGACTTGTTCCCAATATTACAGAGAAGTTGAAAACTAAACAAGCTTGTCTGCAAGTTCAAGTTTTGTCAAAACAATGTACACAAATTTTACATTATGTGCCATCTGGTTAGATTTGAAAAAATTTTGTGCTCAGTCTCGGCAGTCCAACCATTTAAACATATTGTATTCATCGCACTAAGGACACCCAGCGTAGAATTGGGGGTGATCTGAAGTTACTTGGTTTACGTGGAGACCAATAGATGGAGCGACAATCTACAGTGATTGTTTTGTGATCTACCACAATGCGTCTGGAGCTTCCCTGCGTAGAACATTGCCACGTATCACAATGCATTGAGGGACTTTTGTCCAGTGATGTGAAACGCAATGTTCCAACATAATTTGCCTCAACCCAAATCTTTCATATCTGCAATTGCTTTCATCTTAGCGATGGTTGCCGGTTGCTTTGATACCTCTGTTTAACAGTACCGACATCTGAAAACTGCGTTGGGCCCCTATTCAGCATTAGGTGCTGACAAACCAATTTGATAAGCTGAAGATAGCAGTTTAGGAGTCATATTTCCGATTCTCGCCTCAGAGGGCGAGGCTCAAGAGGAACTTGGTTGTGATGGTCCATCTCAGGATGCATATCTGTGCTCATGCTATCTGGTACCCCAGTGTCACTGCCTTCTTCTTCTTTACTGGTTAGTGACACTTCATTTTCATAGCAAAATGTGTTTGTGTTCGATAGAATGAACTTCTTTTCTGCCAAGTCTCTTGCACTACAAAGAGGGGTGTTGGGCACTTCATAGGTTTTGTGGAACCTTGAATAGTCTACTTTGTAGTAACACTTTTCTTCAAAAAGAACCGGCTCATATCGATGGCCCCATAATATTTCATTTGCTAGATAGGAGCTCCGGCACTGTGTTGTCATAGCTGTAGCTTCCACCATCCCTTCTAGTATTACAACAATTTCAAAGTCAGAATTGTCCAAATCCTGTTTGCTTAAATTATATAAAGGACTATCTTCGTCAATTTCATGGACAATGGTAATTGGGGAAACTAAGAAAATCCTGTCTATTCCACTGTCAAAGCCAACATTAATATCTATTTGATCTAATGGGATGTACTCTCCTTCTGAAGTGATGCGGGATTTGAGAAGCTGGGCACGAACATGAGCTTCTACAAGGTGGCTTTTCCGGAGATTACCAACACGCCACATCAAACACAGTTTACCATCTCTCATTGCAATCACAGCGTTGTCACTAAAAACAAGGGTTTCATTTCTCTTTTTTGGTTTTGCCATTTTAGCCATTACAGCACCGATGATGAACGCGTCGATAATACACCCAACAATAGACTGGAAAACCACCATGAACACTGCAACTGGGCATTCATCTGTAACACACCTGAAGCCATAACCGATGGTTGTTTGAGTCTCGATGGAGAAAAGAAAGGCTGCAGTGAAACTGTTGACTTGGGTGACACACGGTTTGTGGTTTTCTGGAGCCCCCAAGTCTTCATGAAGGAGAGCAATTAGCCAGAAGACACAGCCAAAGAAAAGCCATGAGAGGATGAAAGCCAGGCAAAAGATGACTAGCATCCATCGCCAACGAATGTCCACACATGTGGTGAAAATATCAGATAGATATCGCTGTCCCTTCTCACTAACATTGATGAACTGAACGTTGCAATGTCCATCCTTCTTGACAAAGCGGCTCCTGCACTGTTGACGGGTATGAATTTTGCTCTTGCCGTTACCATACCCGTTGGCTACTGCCATGGTGGCAAGCTTCATCCCGTCCTCTTCTGAAGACACAACGCTGTAACGGTTGGTTCGCACGCTGCCCATCACTTCTGTTGTGGACTGCGGTGCTTCTGCTTTTGAAAACAGTCTTAGTTTCTGCAAAACTCTTTGGAGAAACAGTTTTGAACGCTCGATGGAAACACACACAGGGGGAAAAAAATTATGAAGAGATACTTTTCTCTGTCGAGCCTTGGTGCTACCAAGGAAGATCTTCTGGCATTTGCAGTTGTGTCACCAGACGGTCATCGTCATGTAGACTTGTCCTGGAAAGAAAGGAAAATATATCTGATGTTAAATCAAATGTAAATAGAAATGAAAATATTTATCACTTATGCCCCTACCTGTATTGAATTAAACACATCTTGAAAACGGATCCCTACAAACAACATTCATCAATATACAATACAAGGATTATATCTACATGTTAAATATATAATTAAATACTTCACATGTTTTCACATTCACCTTTGGTCCCAAGCAGCCCACTTTATAAAAATAGTTCATACTAGTTATAAGTAGCAGATTCACTTCAATTTCACATGCTATTATATTTAAAAATCATAAATCGGAAAATGGAGTTACTCTGTTCACTGAACTACATGTCCCATAAAGCCCAGCATAGCATACCCAAAAACATTGGTTTTCAGAATTGTAATTCTATATGAGAAATATATTTGTTTATACCATATCATATTTAAATTTAGCAAGTGACAATCGCTTAACATAATGCCCAAGACCTCAAGTAGCAATGAAAAGCACAGGGTCGGTTCATTTACAGCATTTTTTTATTAAGATGTGATATATAATTAACACCCGAGAGCTGAGACCCAGTCTGGGAAGGACAAAATGTGCAGAGATAAAATAGCTCCAAATGAAACCGATAAAGAAAGACGCAAATCATTTGCCCATAGTAAGAAAACAGAAAATAAATAAATAAATAAGAAGAACATGGTTTCTATGACAATTAACAATTTTATGCTTCCAAAAATATGTTTCCATTACAGCAGAGAACAGAGTGATATTGAAAATGATATCATTCTCTGTTATTTATAGCTGTGCATTTAAAAAAACAAAAAGCAGCAGGTGTGTTTATATTCTGTATGGTTTCAACGAGTTTATTCATACATTTGGAGATTTACACAGAGTTGTGTCCAAATGATCACCCTGGTGTATGGGCTAATAGAAACAGGACCTGCTAAGTCCTCCCAGAGCTTCCAAAATCTCTCACCTCATGGAAACTTGCAGACATGCATCCACATGAGATCTCCCAAACCGGTCAAGACCTATTAAACTGGTTAGAGTAAGGGAACAAGGCGCCGGTGTCAGGGGAATAGGGAGGGGTAATGCTAACAGAAGGCATTGGATACCTCCCCCCCTCCCCCCAAAAAAACCCACATGAATCATTTTGTGCCTTGTTGCACTTAACCACAGGCTGCGCAGGAAGTGGAGAGCATGCACTATAAAGGGAGCCGCCAATGCTTATACTTGACACGTTTGTGGCTATTAAGTATTTTGCTTGAAGTCAGTAAAATCAATGGGCGTTGAACTCAGGGTAGCTCTGAGAGATTTATCAAATCGTGAGTCTGATGAGGATTCTGCATTTGCCGAATCACCAGTTTCCCAGAATAGAACCATCTGCTGTTGGTTAAATGGGAGATAACAAGCGTATTCATTAAAGGAACAGAAATAACCTATCGCCACCCACAATTTAAATTGTTTCACGCAAAAGGCATTTTATATATTCTATATACTGATTAGCTGTATTTGGAGGGCTTATTGGGATGAAAGAAGAGTGGACACTAAAGGGTGCTGACATAGCACTGAAATAGTTAACTTCTAAGTGGTAAAGGACCGTGAAACGTGCATTATGTGCACCTTATGTCCAGAGTCTGTGTGTGCAGGGACTGTCATGGGTTCTTAAAGGGTTCATTTCCCCCATGTCTATATTACCTGTGTATGTGTAAAGTGAATACAGTCAGCAAGGTTGGAACAATATTTCAGAACATTGAGGAAGAATTCCCATTCTGGCAGTTAACCCCTTCTTTTCCAAATGATTGTGCAACGGCTGGCAGCTGCTTAGCCACTTGGCCGACATGGGATCATGTAATTGATTGTCAGTGAGCTGAACATAGAGGATACTTTGAGGTTTAATTATTCTTCTAATTATTACTACTGTTATTATACGTCTGCAGCACTGACATTGCCACTGCTTCCTCTGGGACCCATTAGCCACAAGATGACCCTTTGGAATGACAGTGGTCCTTACGTGACACAATGTCTGCAGATCATTCTGCTCTTTTCTGTATTCTCACGCAAGTACATCGAGGAGGGGATGCGAATAGCCATAGTTCCACAGTTCTTTCCAGAGAAATTTTATTCTGGAGTCCTTACAATAAACAAAGAATGGAAGAACGCAGCAATGTCCAACTTTTTATAGAGTGGGTTTTTTAAAGTCAGAGACTCCCTGAACCAGATCTGTCGGTGGCAGGAAGGGACACATGGGGCGCAGTATCTGCTGCTGACCAATTTAATTATACCCACCAAGTGGCCCTCCTCAGCAGGAATTGTTCATGCTTGTGACCCAAAATCCCACACTCCCCAAGAAATGCTGTTAAACCCTGATAAATGGCTCACTAACATTACAGGGTAAAGTGGGTCTCTACATTTATAGTCTCACCAGAGGAGCTTACAATCTAATCGGTTCAGTTTATTTTTACAGTATGAACTGTGTCCAGTAGATGGTGCAGGTATTTTACAGGTTTATAAAAGCATTTTCTTCTATATCTCAGCGTTTCCATATCGTGAGTGAGAGATTTAATATCAATAGTAAGATGTTGTACTTTTAGACTATTAATTTCAGGCGTTGCAGTGACCCTCAGCTCAGAACCTTTCACTATTTCAAGTGATCAGCTCTGTCAATTCTGCATAAATAAATAAAATAAAAACCTGATATATAGAGATAGATATATATATACATACACACATACATATACACACACACACACACCCTATCGAAAAGTTAGGGAGATAAAAGAATATCACATGCATGAAAGCAGTGAATAATAATGTGCACCAAATCATTGCTCACCAAACAAAGTGTAGCACATTAGTATGTGTTCTTAAATGTGAAAGCAGCCAGCATGCTAAAATAATGCAGAACAAATGGTAAAAATATAGTGAAGCAATCAGTTAGCGTGTTATGCGCAGCAGAGAATGTACTTGCAAGATGTTGGGTTGGAACGCTTCAAATCGCCACTGGAAGTGGGTGGAGCCAGCAGTCAGCATTTATCAAGCAGTAGATGCAGGAGCAGTCGGCGGTGACTGTTTACAAAGCGCATTTACATTTTATTAAGTCAGAGATATATCGGAGAACAATATGTTGGGTTTTTTTTTTTTGTAAAATGTATGTGATTAACTAGATTTATGTTTTTATTCCTTTCTGATTCTCCGCAGCATGTCACCTGAGGTAGGTACTGGGTTAGCAGACTCTCTCGCTATTTTCCCCCCCCCGAAGGCGTATGTCTATCTGTGCTGTGTAAGTGTGCAGAGCATCGCAGACAACAAAGAAATGGCCTGAAGACATGAATGCATGCAACGCAACAACTAGTCTTCAAATGTAACAGGTTGGCCTACGGTTAATGTCACAGAACCAGATAAAGAAGTTTATCTCGTTGTTTTACTCGAGGGTTAAACTAGCACAACAGCAATTAACCAGACAGAGAATTTAGCCTCCAGTAAGATCCACCAGCTCCATAAATCACTGAGTGATTAGGTGAGCCTATTAGCCATTAACATCTGTCAGCAAGCCATGTTTAGAGCTCACCCCTATATAACCCCCTCTCCCCTCCCAATATTTCACATGCAAAAACAGAGACATTTTAATTGTAGGGGTGTGGCCAGGGGGCTGATACACTGTAGGTTATTAATAACAATGTATGCAACTAAAATGTAATTTATAACAAGAACCATGTATTTTATTGACAGACTGATTTCTAAACACATTTATTGTAGTTTAAAGACAAACTAGGAGTATTATTGCTGTGGAGCTCTGTTATACACTCAGACACATTACTGGGAGTATTATTGCTGTGGAGCTCTGTTATACACTCAGACACATTACTGGGAGTATTATTGCTGTGGAGCTCTGTTATACACTTGGTCACATTACTGGGAGTATTATTGATGTGGAGCTCTGTTATACACTAAGACACATTACTGGGAGTATTATTATTGTGGAGCTCTGTTATACACTCAGACACATTAATGGGAGTATTATTGCTGTGGAGCTCTGTTATACACTCAGACACATTACTGGGAGTATTATTACTGTAGAGCTCTGTTATACACTCAGACACATTACTGGGAGTATTATTGCTGTGGAGCTCTGTTATACCTGCAGACATATTACTGGGAGTATTATTGCTGTGGAGCTCTGTTATACACTCAGACACATTACTGGGAGTATTACTGCTGTGGAGCTCTGTTATACACTCAGACACACCGACAATATGGAGCTCATAGAAAAGAGGGACATTAGAAGAGAAAAGAGAGACAGAGGGATTTGGGTGCTAAATAGGGACACTTGGGAGGTATGTTGATAATGGAAGAAGTTTTCGTAGTCTTCCTCTGACACATTAAGTTATCTGAGCCGCCATCTTGCTCAGCCTCTCAGTGCCGTTTATGTTACCAAGAATATTAAACATGGCTTATTACAGCGCTGCGGAACATGTTGGCGCTATATAAATAATTGTAAGGCAATATTCCATATTTGAATGTGTTCTGATTCCAGTTACATTCTGGATGTGGTTCTTAGGATGTGATTTCAGGGGACGCCATTAGCTACAATGTGTGTAAAATCTGTCAGCGTACAAAGGGGGTTTAATAGATAAATGGATCTCTATAACATAGGATGTATTCACTAAATGGTGAGTTTCATACTCCCACCAGCTCCAAAAAGGATTTCAATAGGTAACACACAACAGAGCCCAATCTGTGAGAAGCACATGGTTTCAGGAGTCTCAAATCATCAATATTGTGTTTAGACATGTCACTACATGTGAATAACACCTTGGACAGACTGTAATCACTACTCAAGTATGATAGCATCTCCTATTGCACAGCTCTGCGGCCTATGTCAGAGCTATGTTGAATAAATTAAAATTTCAATAGCCACTAGGTGAATAAAAACTCCACCGAGTAAATTTTCAGCAATGAGTGAAATATATTAGAGCCTGTGATTTACAGTGTGAATAGGAGAGAAGAACTGAGTTGTGCTGTGAGAAGTGGCATGGAAAATAAGGTGTATTTCTGTGATTTTATACACCAAACATTTTGTAGGAGACTCTTAAAACACTGCATGCATCTATCCAATATCGATATCACTGAATGGGGCTAATGTGATAATTGCGTAATGATCGATGTCCACGACAGGACCCACAGATTGGGTAATGGGGCAATTTATCACAAAATCAATGTTTTGGCTCTCACGGGAGCCGTTATGAAACCTTGCTTCGCTCCTGTTCCCAGTGTAGAAAAATAACTTGTTAAATTCCTCAGATTATAATCTCGATTTATTCCACCATATACTGATCATTCTATTAATAACACCTGCCATGTTCAATAGGTGAGGATAGATCAGCCCTTGACTATAGTTTATGCCCAACACGTGCTGGGTGGAAGCGTTAAAACATAAATAATGTTTTGGGAAAAGTTAACATCGTTAAATTAATTGCTGCTGGGTTTTCCCAAAGTGCAGATAATGCGCAATGGGAGAACAACTTGGGATAAATTGGGAAATATTTACTCTCCAAAGCAGAGAAGCTCCGAGCCCTGGAAGAAAGAGGGTTAGAGCAGGTTCTTAAGGATAGCAGAGCATTGTGGGAATAGTGGTTCAAAACAAGTGCAATTGTACATTTGGCCCACATCACGTCTGATATGCCACTGGCGATTAGAGGGTTAGCCTGCAGAGTGTGAAAAGAGGTCAAATCCCATAATGTTTGGTGCTAGAAGGTCCTCAGGACATGTAACCATTAATGTGCCGGGGAGAATGAAATATCATATACCCCTCTGGAGCACTAAGAGTTCATTGTGCCCAATGTCCTGCAAATTATTGAGTAAATGCTATGAATTCCCCAGAGGACTCGGGCTGCTCAATCCGCCATACAGCACAGTGACACTCAGCCCCAAAGGCGTCCTTCACAGTGACGATGAGTGACAAACAGGGCAGGAATGACTTGTTCTGGAGTTACAGATTGGTCCGGATATGGGATAGTAAGCGAAAACAAAATGATATACCATCTGAACTCCACATCCCATGACGCTCAGACAGCAGCGCTGCCATCCAAGGATGTAGCACACATTTCTGATAGAATGTAAATATTTAAACTGGCTGCATTATAATGTAAATATTTATAGCACTGTGTGGATTAGAATGGGACATGCAGCCCACTTTGGTGCTCGAGTACAATGAGACATGACAGATCTCCTCGTTCCACCTGCTCACACGGACATTCACTGGGATACGGAACCTGGCGGAATGCATACTGAAAGGGTCTGCAAACACCTCCACGTGTACTTTCAAATAGACCCCCAAACATTTGTAAGCCACAACTCCCGTGAGGCTTTGCCAGCCTTCAGTTCTACAAAAGCTGGGGCAATGTGTCACCCCCAGATCGCTACGGTGTGTACAGAATCACAATGTGCCTGTTCTGAGGATGTATTCACTAAATGCTGAACTGTGATAAATGGCAACATGTGATTAGAATAACGCTCAGCTGAAGCATTATCCCAAATCTTACAAGTTTGATTTACAGCCTGTTTAGTGAATAAACCCCTTAGACTTAAACCGAGTCTGAGGGTCCGCACACCACATTAAGATCTGACAAGTCTTCACACCCAAAAGAAACTGTTCAAGGCTGAAAGCCCTGCCTACCACTAGCCCTGATGGTTACCTGCCTGAGGGCCTTTGCTTCCGCACGACTGGGCTATGAGACCTCCCCATTCCCTGGGGCAAGAGCCAATCTCCCAAAGTGACGCCACAGGCCTTCACGTTGCTACGCGATGGGCGACTGAGCTACTGAACAAACCAGCACCTCTGCCTTGTGTAAACAGTGTGTGGCAGCTGGCTAATATCCACATAACATGGAGACATTCTTTAACTGCAATATTATCATCATTTATATAGCGCCACCATATTCTGCAGCGCTGTACAATGTTATAACAGTAGCTGAGATAATTACAAAATAGGTTGATGAGAATCCTGCTCTAAAGAGCTTGCAGTCTAGATATAAACATCCCAATGGACTGCACTCTACAATGCATTAGTCGATTTGGATAAATTCTCGAATTTAGCTCCAGTCACAGCAAGGCTATTTTAGCCTGAATGATCTGTTTATCACTTCACTACAATGCGCTGTTTAGTGAATAAATACTTGTGGTAAGCTGCAAGGAACGTCCCAGAGGGCACCTGCTAAAATGCCATGGCACTGAGATTTGGGAGGCAGCGCACTGCACAGAGATTATACACTCCATCTGTAACAGATAAATAGAATAGCTATACACAAGATTCCTGTTATTGAGGCTTCTGGATAAACTCTAGCCACCTGCATAGTGCAGCAACTTACAGGCTTTCTAGAATAAGAGGACTCAAATATCTCTCTATCTGCCTATCTATCCATCCATATATCTGTCATTCTGTCTGTCTGGCTGTGTATTCACACAGAACACATATCTGGGCCCATTATGAATCTTATTCATCAGTAATCTTAATAAACGATTGAATGTCATGTTAAAGGGGACAATTATACTGTATGTGCTCACTAAACAGCAAACTCTAGTACATTAAAAAATAATTGTAAAATTTAGGCAAGAAAATTCCAAGCGGTGATTGTTGGAGAGTTGGCGAATATTTCAAATCAGAACTTGATGCTCCCCTCCACCCCCCAATTTGGTTTTCAGTTCCATTCAGTGTTCAGTAAACAGACCCCACAAAGAGCATGTTTCGTGTAAAACACGGTCATTTGATCAGCTGTATTAAAGGAACAGTTGATTTACCAATGCAATAAGAACAATTATAAAGGAATGCTAAGGTCCATAAAGTAGCACCTGTTAAACTTCTCTCTCGCTGCAGATATCTGAGATCCAAAACAAGTCCCCTCACCCCAAAGACAACCAGAGGTACTTTAGAATCATTTTTCCAGATTTGATATAAAAGAGCAGATTTTTAGCGATGACTGTGCAGATTTGTTCTGAGTCCAGTCACAGGAGCGTGCGCTAATCGATTAGGTGAAAAGGTAAGACACCCTATCAATCATATCCCAAGGCAAACAAACTGCCTCGTTTTTTTTCCTAATCGGCTAATATTGCCATTCTGATTTTAATTCACTATAATTCAGAGTTTTGTGAATAAGCACTCCAAAGTCACAGAGGAACAGGATGGGGGACAACACGATTCACAAAGACCATGGTAAGGACGATACCTGCATGTAACCAACAGCACGATACAGTCTGCAGCCAATAAACCTATCAATAATAATGGTTATTGGAAATGGGGTATTATAGAAGGTAACGCATTCTGTAGCTCAGTAAAGCTGATAAGACTCTGTCATCTAGACAACCAGAGCTGACAATCTAATTCACATTCTATGTATTGAATGATATAGCCAGCTAGCTGGTCTCGGGGTCCCTGTTTGATTACAATCTCTCTGCTACAACTAGTGGGACGGCAAAGTGTCTAAGGACAATTCTCCTAGCAGGACGGTGTCCGAGTCACCGAGCGCAAACTGACAGAGAGAGAGGAAGAAGGGAGCGAGGGAACATTTCCCAAGAGACGTGAAAGGAGAAGTAAGCGAGATGGTAACCAAATGTTAATGTGGAAACTGCAGGGCGAGCTTACATCACCCAGAAACACATTTCAACAGTAAAATCTCAATCTCCTCCTGGATAATTTAACTGTTTCCAGCAGCAAGCACCGTTCTCCAGAAATACTATTTCACATCTATTGACTGGTTCAGCTGTCAGGACTCTAAGATCATGTAACATTCCCCAAAGTCTAGTCATTTCTAGCCACAATGTGATCCTGGGGCACAGCGTGCAAGCACAGGGCACTGAGCTATAATCCAGCACCGAGCTCTAGTACAGCACTGAGCTCTAGTACAGCACCGAGCTATAATACGGCACCGAGCTATAATACGGCACCGAGCAATAGTACGGCACTGAGCTATAATACGGCACCGAGCTATAATACGGCACCGAGCAATAGTACGGCACTGAGCTATAGTACAGCACCGAGTTATACCAATAAGAGGGATTGCAGTGTTCCCTGGATTCTAGTACTTAGAGATACTGGAGTGCCTGGACCTCTTCTCTGTTAATGGTATGACTTCTGGTGGGCTGGTGCTGGCCCATGTTCTAGTTTAGCCCCCTTTGACTTCTGCGGATGGAGTGCAGTTCCTATTTTGATATTGTGTCACCAAGTTATAGTCCAGCACCGAATGCCCTGCTAACAGCTGCAGGAAGCTCCTGAATGCAAACAGATGCTCCAACAGTTGCAATTCATAGATTGATATTTATAGATTATTGCAGCCCTTCACACAGTGTCATCAATACACACAGTGTGATAGAGCGATAGTTACACTGTGATGGAGTGATAAGATACAGTGATAGAGCGATAGTTACAGTGTGATGGAGTGATAAGATACAGTGATAGAGCGATAGTTACAGTGTGATGGAGTGATAAGATACAGTGATAGAGCGATAGTTACAGTGTGATAAGATACAGTGATAGAGCGATAGTTACAGTGTGATGGAGTGATAAGATACAGTGATAGAGCGATAGTTACAGTGTGATAAGATACAGTGATAGAGCGATCGTTACACTGTGATGGAGTGATAAGATACAGTGATAGAGCGATAGTTACAGTGTGATGGAGTGATAAGATACAGTGATAGAGCGATAGTTACAGTGTGATAAGATACAGTGATAGAGCGATCGTTACACTGTGATGGAGTGATAAGATACAGTGATAGAGCGATAGTTACACTGTGATGGAGTGATAAGATACAGTGATAGAGCGATAGTTACAGTGTGATGGAGTGATAAGATACAGTGATAGAGCGATAGTTACAGTGTGATAAGATACAGTGATAGAGCGATAGTTACAGTGTGATGGATACAGTGATTGATGGGTACTGTATGATACAGTGATACATGCAGTGAGGTGGATACAATGATAGATACAGAGATTGATGGATACAGTGAGATGGATACAATGATAGATACAGTGATTGATGGATACAGTATGATACAGTGAGATGGATACAATGATAGATACAGTGATTGATGGATACAGTATGATACAGTGAGATGGATACAATGATAGATACAGTGATTGATGGATACAGTATGATACAGTGAGATGGATACAATGATAGATACAGTGTTAAATCCAGTGACAGAGAATGGGACTGACCTGATCCCTGGATGTGAAGCTCCATAGAGGACCCCATTAGATCCAGTGCAGTGTGTGCAGTGTGTGCAGTTTGATTGACAGGTCTCCTGGGAGCTGGAGCAGTTCCTAGTCTGGGCTCTCTCACATTCTGTCTGAATAACTGGCTGCCATGTGCTTTTAAAGCTAGCCGGCTGGACACGCCCCCATGCTGGGACTGGCCAATCAGGAGCCAGGGGATGGTCTGACTGACAGCTGAGGGTTCTGAGCTGAAATTCATTGAGGGAAACTTAATACAGAGAGACTGAGTGTGTGTTATACAGAGACACTGTGTTATATAGAGATAGTGTATGTTATACAGAGACACTGTGTTATACAGAGACACTGTGTTATTTAGAGACACTGTGATATATAGAGATAGTGTGTGTTATACAGAGACACTGTGTTATATAGAGACACTGTGTTATATAGAGACATTGTGATATATAGAAATAGTGTATGTTATACAGAGACACTGTGTTATTTAGAGACACTGTGATATATAGAGATAGTGTGTGTTATACAGAGACACTGTGTTATATAGCGACACTGTGTTATATAGAGACATTGTGATATATAGAGACACTGTGTTATATAGAGACACCGTGTGTTATACAGAGACACTGTGTTATATATAGTGTGTGTTATATAGAGACACTGTGTTATATAGAGACACTGTGTTATACAGAGACACTGTGTTATATAGAGACACTGTGATATATAGAGACACCGTGTTATATAGAGACACTGTGATATATAGAGACACTGTGTTATATAGAGACAC